TTTAAAGCATTCTAATGCTTAAAATTTTGTCTTGTTTTGGAGTGATAACATTTCATAATTTGCCACCAAGTGCTCCTGGGATCAAACTGGTAACCCTGTGGATGAAGGAGTCAGTTCCTCCTGTCTACACTAATAACTGAATAAGGAAAATAGAGGCAAATCAATTTCTCCTTCTTTCATGTCAGAAGCAATCGAGTGCTGTTGTTGCCCAAGATATGCCAAAATGTGTTCACTATCTTCACATTCACCTGGGAGGCTCCTTCCATGTCCCTTGGCAAATCAACCTGGGGCTCTCATCAACTCCCCAGTGACACTCAATCCCATCAGATTTCCTGATACAAGACACTTAGGAAGACTATGTTCTTTAGTCAGAATTCTATATATGCACCCTGTTTCCACAAAAATAAGACCTAACCTGATAATAAGCCCTAGTATGATTTTTCAGGATGCTCGTAATATAAGCCCTACCCCCCAAATAAGCCCCAGTTAAGTGAAACCCCGCCCTCCACCCTTGTGCAGCAACTGGAAGAAGATGACATAACTGTATTGCAATAAATGTAGATTGTTGTACATGAAAAAAATAAAACATCCCCTGAAATTAAGCCCTAACGCACCTATTGGAGCAAAAATTAATATAAGACCCTGTCTTATTTTCAGGGAAACACGGTATGCATGCATGCATGCATGCATGCATGTATGTATGCATGTATGTATGCATGTATGTATGTATGTCATTGTGCAGGGACAACTAGATAAGTTATCTTGCCTCCAGCATGGATATTGCATGGATTACAAAACTGGGTGTGTGAGCAGATGTGGCCCCAAATTATGTGAAGAGGAGCCCACAGCAGAGAAAAACTACAAAGCAACTGGTCTTCCGTATGTGGTTTTTCTCCAACTTGACTTGGGCCCTTCAGTCCAAGAAGAGCCATCACTACACCTGATTCCTTTATGTCCTGGGAGATGAGACTATCAGTTTTCTTCCCACTCCAGCATGCACCGTTGGGCAGACAATTCAGCCCAATACCACTCACATTTGCCATAACTTTCAAAAAGATGCCTTTATCATTCTTTTTCTCTTAACTGTGATTGAACAATTGAAGTATCTGTTAAACTTACTCCATTCCTCTTTTAGTGGTTAATGCAAAAGAGGTACTGATCTGGTTTACTTTTATTTGAATTTGCAGTTGCATCTGCATTTGCAAGAAAGCGCTGCAGTGAGAAATGCTCCTATTCAGGATACTAGCAAGCCACACGTTTTCCTGGCCATATGCTTCAATGGGCTAGTTTTATGAGGCTAAATTTCATCTTTAATAAATCCCAAAGACATCAAAGAAAGCCATGGGATTCTTACACAATACAAAAGTGGGAGCAGGTGATACCTTTATTAGACCACAAAAAAAATAACCTCTGAGCTTTCGTGTTGGACATTACATTACATTCCAGCTCCTCAAATAAAGAATCACCACATTTAGCCTTCCTTTGAGATTGTGAGTTTCTACTGGCTGAGCTCCTTCTCCGCCTTTTGCCATCAGTCACAGATAAATTCCTTCACAAATCTGGTAGCTTGCACAATGTTATATGTTGCAGTACAACTCCCATCATCAATAGCTAATAAGGGCAACAGAGGGCAGTGGGAAAGGCTAAGGTAGTGCCTGTTTTGTCTAAATAAGAGAGAAGATTAGAGTTTCTGATTTTCCATATATCAATCAAACCAAGTACCCTCCCTCCACCCTGCAAAAGCAACACAAAACAACACACAGGGATCTTTATATGCTTTGAAACTGGAACCGTGCACCTTCCATGTCTCCCCCTTTGACTCTCTTTCCCTTCTGCTTCTTCACAGTCCTATTCCCTTGACCATTTCTAAGACATGCTTTCCACAGTTTCTCCTCTGTTGAAGACGGAAGCGCTAGCATTGCACTTCTAAAATAATGTCAGACCTACTCCATCCTCCTTTGCATTTTGTTTGGATTGCCCTGTCTCTCTTCTTTCCTGCCCTTGTCCTTCACCCTCTCCATCTCCTCTCTACCCCCACGGCTATAAAACAGTTCAGTCCGGCCCGATTGAAAACCGAGACAAAAGCTCCCCGTCTTCCTTCCCTCCTTCCCTCCCCGACTCCCCATTTTCCATTCAACCAAAGTGGGACACTTAGAAGCAACAGTCCAGGAGCTACAAGTAGGCCAGACAGGAATAAACACAGCAGACAAAGAATATCCTGTCCACTCTGGAGAGAAGCTAAAGAAAGAGTGATGTCTCCATTAAAATTCAAGGCAGGGAAGCAGCATGCAGCCTGTCAACAGCCTGGCTAATAAAATAAAAATGGGGGTGGGGGGGTTGCAGAGGAAAGGAAGGAATGCTTGCTATAGAGAGTGAAGGAAAATGCAGATAGACCTGAAAGCCACCCGCCAAGGCACTCTGAAATTTAAAATGTTCACTTATCAGGTCAAAGCAAACAAAGGGCAAATTGGAAGAAACTTCTACATGCATGGAAGGGTGCTTCAACCTGGTACTCCCTGTGCAGGCCATAATCCACAGTTTTGCTGTGCCACAAATCCGCATGCAGGGCGCATACATTTTGTCTGTGATCCAGCAGTCCACAAACCATAGGAATCTCTCTCTCTCTCTCTCTCTCTCTCTCTCTCTCTCTCTCTCTCTCTGTGTGTGTGTGTGTGTGTGTGTGTGTGTGTGCGTGTGCGCGCACTTAATCTCCCTGTTCAAGGAGTCTTCCTTAGCAGTAGCCAGCAATGCTGAGTCAAACTTGAAGCTGGCATTTTTTGCATGCAAAACATGCACTATGCCACTGAATTATGACCCTCCCCTAAATGCCTAAGCAGCTTTGAAAGCTCTTCACTGTGCCATGAACAAAAGAAAAGAAAACAAAGCTTTTATAAAATTCCCCTTTTTCATGGAGGTACAGTATATCTATGCAGAATTACTCGACGCCTCCCTGTTCTCTTTCATGGATGTACGTACGTTTACGTAGAATTAACTACACAGAGCTAACATAAAGCAACAGTACTTCTTAGGCATGGATTCATGAGAGAGGGGGAAGATGGTGCTCTGTCCACCATCACCCGAGAAGAAAGAGCGCTCTGCTGATTAACGTCTCTAGGCCAGTGAATGTTACCAACTCCTGCAAGTGGCAAACTCCCCTGCTTTCCACAAAAACTTTGCTACTGCTGTTATTTGTCTCTTTCGGTTTCTAATTAGCTAAGGGAAAACAAATACAGTACCTTTTTTAAAAAGAGAATGGTAATGAAATTATTTCTTAACTGTTTTATTATTTATGCCTTATCTACTTCGTGCTTCCTAGGTTAATGATGTTTGTTATATTATTGTTACTTTGTTACTGATGCTTTATGTTTGATTTATTCACTGCGAACCTGATCTCAGTTCAGTGAGAATTTATTGTTAGTTTTCTGTCTTGATTTGTTATGAACCATTAGAAGTGTACTGTTTTTGGAGAAGCAATATGTAAATTAATTCACTGATTGACTCTTGATTGCCATCCCCACTCTCATTCTTCATGTTCAGTTTAAAATCTGAATACAGCCCAAAGCATATCAAATTACAGACATAAAGTACTCTTTCTGGGTGATCACGGCACCCTGCTTTTTCAAAGATCCCAGTAACACAAAAGGAGATCTTGTAAATTAATTCACTGATTGTCTCTTGATTGCCATCCCCACTCTCATTCTTCACGTTCAGTTTAAAATCTGAATACAGCCCAAAGCATATCAAATTACAGACATAAAGTACTCTTTCTGGGTGATCACGGCACCCTGCTTTTTCAAAGATCCCAGTAACACAAAAGGAGATCTGGATGCATGCAGCTATGTATGTGTGAGAGGGGTGGGGAAGTTATAGCTTTCTAGATGTATTAGATTTCAACTCCCAGAAGCTCCAGATAGCACAGGAAGATGGGAGCTATAGTTCAAAACAGAGCAACACTGGGGCCAAAGGCTTTTCACCCTCCTTCTGTGATGACATAAGTTTGCAGAAATTGACACATGATCTGTCTCCATCCACTTCAAATGCATTTAGTTACATCCAAATAGGGCCAATGCTAGGGACAGAGGTTGGTTTAACAAACTAGAAATGCTTTTTGGAAATTGGTAAAGGTAAAGGTTCCCCTTGACAATTTGTCCAGTCGTGTCCGACTCTAGGGGGCGGTGCTCATCTCTGTTTCCAACCTATCTACTCGCATTTTGCATTTTGCATGCTTTCGAACCGCTAGGTTGGCGGGAGCTGAGACAAACAACGGGGGCTCACTCTGATGTATGGATCTGATCTTACAACTGCAGGTCTTCTAACCTTGCAGCACAAGCACAAAGGTTTCTGCGGTTTAACCTGCAGCACCACAACGTCCCTCACTTTCGGAAATTAAATGAATGCAAAGTGTTTCATCCTCCACAGTAGTGAAATCAGATGCCAGGTTTTACTTGAAACTCACCTGTCTTCATAGAATCAAGTCTTTGCAATCAGCGACATGTTGATGACAAGAGCAACTAGCGTCAATAATATATTTTTAGATGTATGTTTCTGGCATTTGGGATGCAGAATTAGTATGCTCTTGACAGGGACCAAAGGAGCAATAGAATTTAGAAGTGAAAATAAAGTGCAATTGACATATTACTGCAGGAGCAGGAAAGCTATGGGAAATGTGATGAATGGCAGGGAACAGTGTGGTATATAGAAATCTATCTTCTTACTAAATCCTATTTAAAGTATCTTTGCTTTTGAAATACACAACTTGAAACATCTACCTATCTCTGTAAGAATGCAGTGCTTACAACCATCGGTGCAAATTGATTTCTGGGGGTGGGAATTGTTTCTGCTTTCATACCAGACTTTGCATTTAAAAGTAAGATCATCATGAATTGGGAAATTCTTTCGGTGAGCTCATGTCACCATCCATCACAAGATGTTCAGAAGTCAGGAAACTGGCAGAGACCTACAAACATACCAAAAAGGATGCCTCCCAAAGAACCTCTTACCTCACGAAAATATAGCAGATTTCCAATAAAAGGTAAAGGAGGTGGGTGACGGATGCCTGCTTTCTCTAGCCGGGAGAATCCAGAGATGGAATACCTGTAAAAAGAGCAAAATAAATAAGGCTTGAAAAAGCTGTGCTTTCACTTTTCTATAGGCAAATTTCTATTTTGATTGACTGGTTGATTGATGACTGAGTATATGTTTTTTCTTGGGCCCATTACACAGCTGAAATCTTCCCAAAGTAATTTACAATATAGGATGGCAAAAGCAACATTTTAAAAACAATTTACATTTAAACAAATCTGAAACAAACCAGTTGAAACTAAATGTGTGTTTCTTTTCCCATTAAAAAGCCCCAAGACTAAGATGAGGAAAATTCTGGAAACCAACCAATATAGCAAAAGTATGAAATCCACAGCTTGGCGGATGACTTTTCTAAAAGTAATTCATTACTTGTCCACCTTTTCTCTTTTATAAGTAGCTCATTATCATTACTCCTTATTTGTTCTTTGATACCTCACAAACAAGTTACTATTTTCAAAATATAAAAAGCAACACTTTAGAATGTAAAAGCTGCTCAAAATCACCCAAAAAGGCCATTAAAAAGCAACTTCCTAGGAGTAATGAGTAAACACAGTTCCTTACACACACAAAAAACCTTAATAGCACCAGACATTATGTTAACTTTTTAGAAATAATAACAGAGGTAGGAACATTATTGCTGGACAGCTCAGTGGTTTAGGTATGGTTGGGAATTCAGTTCCTCATGGTGCCTCCTTGACAACGACTGGACTCGATTATGCATCGGGTCCCTTTCAGCTCTGCAATTCTAAGATTATTATTATTATTAACAATAAAGGAACATGACATGGGCAGGAGCTACTTTTAGCTTTTGGCTTTCTCTGCATCAAATGGCAAATTTCAATAGGCCAGACAGGTTTTCTCAAAAACCAAACAGACCTTCTAATTGTGAGAAGTCAGATTTCTACAAGCCACAAAATTCCATGCCATGTATTGTGATTCCATTAATCTCAGTATTCCTGCATTTGCTATCAACAATGAGTGACCGTACTAGATACAAGGAGCACGGTTACATGTAGCATATTACTGTATTTGTAAGCGCTGTTGAAATTTCCTTCCTACGGGTTGCAGTATAAGACAGGACCGGCATCTGTCAGGAACTTTATGTTAGATGTTGATTCAGGTTTGGTTATTTCCTTCTCTCAAAAATAAAAGACTGATACTTGAGTACAGTACATGCACTCAAGCTCCAGAGACATTCTGTCAAAATTAGATCCTTAGAACTCTAGCATTCTTGGATCGCTCCAACTCTGTTCATTGTGATGATGAATGATTTCCACACAGTAATTATCTCAGGGGAGAGTACAGCATATTTATCTTATAAGATAATTCTACTGAGGAGAGAGGAAACCATTGGTGGTTCTCACTATTTTCATATGGTTTTTAAGCTGAAATGATAATCATTTTATTTTGTCTCTAGTGCAAGGAAAAGTTTGTGCTCCTTTGAATTATTTCCAAATAACTGTTTAAAAATAAATCATGTATTATAATTGTTTTTAATTTCTGTAGATTGTATCAATTTTGCTTATCACCCAGAGATGAGTTGTTGATTGCTAGTCACATAAATATAATTAAGCAATATGCAATTATCAAACATGATCATAATAGCCATATAAATTACAAAAAAATAAGCCACTACCAAACACAGAGGTGAGGAATTCCTTTTCCCATTTATTGCCTTTCTTCATATCCAGAGGAACTAAAAATCTTCCGTTTGTCACATTATATCAGCATAAATTTTAAAAAGAACAGTAGGTTGAACAGGTGTGAAAGGCACCCTTTTAAATGGTAAAGTTAACTTTTGTAGGAAACACAATATAGTAATTTCTAGTAATGATGGAACTACTAATACAAACATTACCACATTGTCTTCCAGGTGTTTTAAAACTGGAACAACTTGGGGGAAATTCTCTAGAATTTCTCCAGCAGCACAAAAATGTACCTTGCAACTCTGGCAGATGTGCACACTAAATGACTGCTCAGCTAATAATAAGCAAATGAAATTCTCTAGAATTTCTCCAGCAGCACAAAAATGTACCTTGCAACTCTGGCAGATGTGCACACTAAATGACTGCTCAGCTAATAATAAGCAAATTAAAATAAAACAACATTTTGAGAATTGAAACTATCTCAAGGTTATCTACATAACAGTGCAATGAATGATACAGTACCACTGGATAAGGTAGAGTGCAGTAATTGTATCTTTTCTGCCAACTTCTATGATACTTTTACTCAACACAGACAGGCCAGTAGAAAGTTTTTAATTAGCAGTGATCTGCTAATTGATGCCTTTGAATTGTGGTGCTGGAGGAGACTCTTGAGAATCCCCTGGACTGCAAGGAGAACAAACCTATCAATTCTAAAGGAAATCAACCCTGAGTGTTCACTGGAAGGACAGATCCTGAAGCTGAGGCTCCAGTACTTTGGCCATCTAATGAGAAGAAAAGACTCCCTGGAAAAGACCCTGATGTTGGGAAAGTGTGATGGCAAGAGGAGAAGGGGACGACCGAGGATGAGATGGCTGGACAGTGTCTGCGAGGCAACCAACATGAATTTGACACAACTCCAAGAGGCAGTAGAAGATAGGAGGGCCTGTCGTGCTCTGGTCCATGGGGTTACAAAGAGTCGGACACGACTAAACGACTAAACGAGGACAAAACGACGACGATCTGCTACTGCTAGTGACTCTAGAACAGGATAATGGCCATCTAAACATGAAGGTTAAGAAAATCAAGATCTTGGCAATCATTAAAAGTCAAGCAACCCAGAAAATACAGCTAAGATCCAAAATAAAAGACGGGTGCATGCTGACAAATGCAGACAACTCGGAATTAAGTAGCATGAAAGGTTTAATCATAGCAATGCAATAAAGTTAGAATCAAGATGAGCAACCTGTTTAAAAGAAAGAATCTTGTGCAGAACAAAAAATTTAAATTGGCCATGAGTATATCCATTGTATAGTATTGTGAAATCTGTCTTTTACTGCATGGCACAGACTTTGAAACTGGCTAATATTAAAAAAAGAAATGTTTGAAATGAGCACTTAACACAGTATGTTCAAATTTTCTTGAACTGAGAAGATGACCAGTAAAGTAGTGCTAAGAAAAATAAATAAAGACTAGGAAGTCATTACATACAGCACCATACAGAAAACAAGAATTTTTTGATCATTTAATGAGAAACGTACAAGTAGAACATCCGTTTTGACTCTGTCTTGTTCCAAAGGGGAAACAGTGTTTAGCCGGGTGCATGCAGAATAATGAAGGCAATAAGAGGGCTGCTGTCCGAGATAGATAAAGAGGTGGGAAAGGAACACATTAAATGAACTGATTTAAGCTGGAATGTCTCCAGAGCAGGGTGACCAAGAGGGTGAAAGGTCTGAAAAGCAAGCTAATGAAAAATACTTGAAGGAGTTGCATGTGTGTTGCCTGGAGAAGAGAAGTCTGAGAAGCAATATAATGGTCATCTTCAAAGTATTTGAAGGGCTGTCACATAAGAGCATGGAGCAAGCTCAGTATCAAATTACAAGAAAGGAGGTTTCAACCAAACATTGAGAAAAACACTGAGATGCTTGGCCACGGAAAGAACTATGTTGGAAGGTGATGGGTTCTCCTTGGGATGAGGTTTCTAAACAAAGTTGGGTGGCAGTTTGTCAAGGGCTCTTTCACTGTGGATTTCCTGCTTTATCAGGGGTTGGACTTGGTGACCTTGATTCTGTCATTCTAGATCTCATGTCAAAGCCACATAAAATACAGCTGGCATCACATACAAATTACAGAAATAACCACAGCTTTCAAAGCAGCAGAGAAAATGGGGTAAACAAACATCTGTCAAGTTTTCCCTGTTCCATTCAATGTGTGTTTTAATTAATATATTGTCAACCATCAGTTCCTTTGGGGCTGCCTGTGCTAAAAATACAAACATTACTTATTCATCTCTGTTATGCCAGAGATATACTAGGTGCTTAAATACCAGGTGCTGGATGGTAAATACTAGGTGCTAAATATCATCAGCTAATTCCAGAAAATAGATTTTTCACACATCCTTCAATCTCTGCAAGAGGAAAAGAGGCATGTTTGCCTAATGCATATGATTTTTTAAAAAAGAAAGAAAAGAAAACATTACAGCATTACACAATTTAAGAGTGAACAAATCCAGCTGAACTAGCCATTATGGTTAAGTCTGGAAATCAATCCACCAAATATTTTGAACTATTAAGTGTCCAACAACATTTTATTTCTACAATGAAGAAATCGCATGTAATGTTGGGCTTTCCAGAATGAAACAGATCTCATTTTCTAAAAATTAAAGTTCAGGAACATTAAATTTCTGTAGGCTAGCCAACCTGGAGTCTTCAGTACTCTACTGTAATACACAACCTTGCACCAGCTTGATCAGCAAAATTTGTCAAGGGAAAATCTTATGTCAGAACAAATTGTATACCAGCCAACAAGCAAGACATGGAGCTTAAACAGACATTGCAAGACATTACATTACAAAATAGGCAGCAGGCACATGGCAAAGCACAGTGAAACAGCAGCCAGAATCCTACTGGGATCTCACTGTGATGTAAGTGAAATCTGTGAAGTAAGTCACAGCAACAAATCACAGCTAATAGACAAGGTTCCATTTAGGTTACTGATTGTATATGTGGATGCAAGACTGACTGGTTCACGACCAGGCATACAACCAACACCTTGCTAATTCCCTAAAAACTGCTGCCATTACTTCCTTTCTCGATAGGATTCTGGCCTATGTCACTTAACGCATCAAGAAAGGAGAGGGAGAAGAAATAGAGTGCAGACAAAGCCGACCCTATCAAAAAGCTGAGTAAGGCAGCTACTCAGAAGTGGGGTTACAAGGAGTAGCAAATTGTGCCACTCCTTGGGAAGCCCCCCACCAGCACCTCATCTCCTTTCTCATTGTTTCAGTTTATGGTGGCTACTTCTGTTCTGGCTTTCCTTTTGTGCCCCCTCTCCATACTATATCATCACTATTGCCATTCCTCCCCCTTA